AGAGACTGATGCATTGAAACATGTTTATTATTTCTGTTGTCAATGCATTAGGTACGGGTTGAAAACAGCCATAGTAAAATTAAAGTGGGCATGTTGCATATGACATATATTGGTATGATGAAATGTACTAATAAAAATTAAAAGTTTATGAATTAGCAAAAATAAATTGCTAATTTAAAAACAATTTAACTCACACAAACATTACATGAGACTTAACAACTATGTTGATTATGTGACACAGTAAAAGAATCAGACAACAAAAGCGTCTAATCTCTATTAACATATATTTATATAAGTCAATTCATAGGTTCTTTAGTTTTAAATTGTGAGATGAACTGTTTTTAATAACTACATCATCTATATGTGATGCAATAAAAGTGAACTAAAAAAAATTACATTTGATATGCAATGTTTAGCTTTACTCCCATACTTGTCTCTCTGTAGGGCTCTAAACGACAGCATGAAGAAAAGGAAAGAAAAAACAACAAGTAAGCTTACAGCGACAGTAGAAGAAACATGAGTAAAAAGCAAATTGATGATATGCAGAAAAAAGAGTCAAAGGAAATAATTTCCACTGCCCCCAAATTCATGAGTCTGTGTTACATGGTTTATCATAATTAAAAACACTGAAATGTTAGTCAGGAAATAAAAACCCCACCTTAACGCATGCTAGTAAAATGAGTCTTTAATAAGCGTTTCTACAGTTTGTAAATTTCAAACAAATACACTTTTTTTTAAAAGTTAAGATTATCACACCAACCAAGGAAAATAAATATTTGAGGGCAAGCCATGAATATTTCCACAATTACATTTTAATATTATATATATGTGTGTGTGTATTTATGTTTTTTAGAAAATACCTGCTTCTAAGAAATGTTATTTAACTTTAAAAATTTTCAGCAAAATTATAAAGCTTTTAGCTTATATACAGAGAGGCTATAGTTGAAGGTTTTCATAATTTTTCCCATATTTATTTTCTCTTTGCCTGTACAAAGATTATCTTTCCCCTACTGTACCTATATATAAATGATTATTATCATTTGTAAATAATACTGATCAATACAGTCATTTCTGGAGCTCATATTCAAAAGTTGTATAACTATGGAGAAAGAAAAAAGGTTAAATCCAATCATTATTCTGTATCAAGAAAATGTGAGGGAGCGGGGGAATACCACCATCAATATAATTTTCTTCTGGGTTGCTGCACAATCATATGCAATCAAACATTTTTGACCTGGTCCATTAAAAACAATCCTAGTGAAATCATGCTTCTAAAAAACCCCAGATTTTAATCAGGTCAAAAGAACTGCTCTTTGTGATTCTGTTTACAGGAAGGTTAAATCATCATCGCACACACAAATACTCCTGCAAATTCACTGGGCTAGATCATTTCAAGAGATTCTGGCTTGTTAGAATTTAACCACTGCTTTAGAAATAAGGTGTGTGTACTTTAAATGTTTATTTGGTTCTCAGTAAAAGACCAACAATATTTCAAAATGCAGAGGAATTTCTTTTAAATTTTCAAAATAGCTTTAAAAGGGGAACTGGAGATAGAAAGTCAAACCAGTAAAGCAGAGGGTAATTGTTTGTAGGTTCATTATAGCTCCCTCCTTAAAGACAGAATTTTAGAACTAGGAAGCACATGAAAGATAATAAGTTCAATCCCTGCTTCTCCGAGATGAGGAAACTGCAGCCAAGAGAGGCTGAGCCTTACCTAACTACCCTGCACGGAGCGGCAGAACGGGGACCAGAAAGGAAATCTGGATTTGCTCTGGATGCTGCCATCTCGTTCTCTTCACATCTGCCTTGGGCTTTGAATATTTATTTATATATTTTATAATATGACCTTGTATCCTTACCAACTATAATGTATAATGTATTCTTCGCTATATCCCAACCTAAGGATGTAACTGTCTTTAAAGTTATAGAATTGAATTAAATTACTTTAAAATGTACATTATTTTATAAAATCACGAATTCCTCTCTATATTATGTTTTGTTGACAGGTTTATGTATAATGAAATTGGTCTAACAAAAATTGAGTTGTCCAATATTGACAAAAAGATAATGGTCCAGAAATACTATGCATGAAGTTTTAAATATTTCCAAAGACAATCTAAATCCAATTCATCTTTATTCATAACAATAAGCTTCAGTACCACTATAAACACATCTTTACATATTTTAAATAAAGGCATTACAAACAAAAATGGGTACTTTAAATCTGAATGCTTCTTTGCTTGGATGGCATTGGTGCAACTGAATCAGAGGACCCATAGAACAGAATTAAGTGGTACTTCAACATAAACCACTCCAGTACATACCGAGCCACCTATATTTCATGTAAGATTTCACCTTGCCAGTAAGAAAATAAGTGCATTCATCTGAAAGCATAAGATTAGTAGCAAATGACAATCACCAAGATTTATTTGGGGTCAATTGTAAAAAGAATTATTTTAAGCACTACCATAGTTTATTAACATCTTAAAAATATTTAAACATCAAATAGCTGAACAATTCCACTTCTGACTCTGAAAAACATGAATAAAATTATTTGCTATCTTATCATTAAGGAAATTCAGTAGAATTGATTTAGTTTACTGGCATAAACCACAAATCCATTCAGAAGAATCCTTTGTGTATTTATTAATGATCTTAATAACAATATCCAGTAATAAATTCCACAGAAATAAACTTTAAATATATATATATTATTATTTTAACTTTTGCATCATGGGAATTTCATTTTGATAGTGTTTACGGAAGTGTTTCATCCTTAGAAAAGTCTCCTAATTTGGGATAGCAATAAAAAGAAAATAAGTCAAGAAAGCAGTTATTAAATCAGGAAAAAAATTTAGAATGATAATTATTAAATTTTTCATTATGTAAGACACCGGAAACTATATTAAATAATAAAAATTGAAACAAAATGCTATCTACATTTGTTGCTAGTTTTAAAACAATTTCCAACATTTCTTTGTACGAATAATGTAGAATAGATTTAATTTGCAGATATGCTGTAAATCTTCATTTAACATCACTCAAAACTTACTGTCAGCACACTTTAAAATGTTTATGATGACACAGTTATCTGTCACATAGCCCAAATTTTTAAAAAGGTCGTTATGAGGTCTGCTAAACTGTTCTGCCAAACCACATCTGGTGTCTTCGGCAAAATATACTTTATTGAATGCTACAATGAAATAGGGACATTGACAAATGAGAGAAAATTTACGGGGGCGGGGGTGACTACGAAGAAGGATCTAGAAACTATCTCACATCGATGGCTTTGAGTTATTTTCCTAGGGAAATAGAGGACTAAAAGAAGACAGGTTAGCTGCTTTCAAGTATTGAAAGGACTGCAACAGAGAGCAGAATGCTTTGCTCTTTGCTCTAGAGGGCAAATCTAAGCAACATGACCAGAGGCAAATTTCAGCTAGGTGGAAGGAAAAAAATATATACAACAAATGGAGCAATTCAACAGTTGAATGCAGTTGACCATAGAACGCCATGGGTTTGAATTGTGTGGGTCCACATATAAGTGAATTTTTAAAAATAAATACTGTAAATATGATTTCCACAATAACATTTTCTTTTCTCTAGGTTTATTGTAAGGCTATAATATTTGATACAACATACACACTGAGAGTTAATAGCTTGCTTATGTAATTGCTAATGCTTCTAGAAAACAGGAGGCTATTAGCAGTTAAGTTTTGGGGGTATCAAAAGTTATATGCAGATTTTGACTGCATAGGGGGTTGGGCACTCCTAACTCCTCTTGTTCAAGAGTCACTGTATATGAAATCCTGAGCTGGGAAGGGTCATATTAGAGAAAGCACTTTAGCCATGTCATGAGGAGGACCTAATGAACCTATTCTTTCTTTTGATTCTAAAATTCTATGCTTCTTGGATGCATGGGCCTTAAAGGAGCAATAAAATGTAAAGTTTGATTAATTATTTTATCCTATTGACAAACAATTTGACTGTATTCCTGAAGTCACTTCTGGATTACTGACTTTGGTATTTAGAAATAATTTAAAAGCATCATTTTTATTTGGCAAGGTCACCTGGAAAGGTCAGATGGTTTTAGACACCCAATGGCCATGCTGAAGCAAAGATACTTTTCTGGAATGGGCATTCACACCAAGTTTTAGCCACTCATGCCCCTAATCATTTACCTCTGACCGAGAAGGTAAAATAAACCAAAGCCTCCCACAAAGATTCTCACGGAGGATTACTATACATTTTATTCAAAATCCCCTGGAAATGTTAAATACTCCTAATCTATCACTTCTAACTTGAAGGAATCTCAGACATCTCTGTCTATAGTGAATTTTCTTTCAAATATAATTTTAAATAAGTACATCTGACTAGGATTATAAAGCTTTTATTTGAATATTATTTTCTTGTGGTCTCTTTACATATGATATATGGATATCTTTAATATTATAAATTGTTTTAAGAGATTTATGCTTTTTGTTTGCTAAACAATAATTTTTTTAAAGATTTTAAATTAATTTTTAGAGAGGGAGGAAGGAAGAGGGAGAGAGGTAAGGAAACATTGATGTGAGAGCAGAACATCAAACGGCTACCTCCAGTCCCAGGAATCGAACCAGCAACCTTTCATTGCACAGGATGATGCCCAACCAACTGAGCCATACTGGCCAGGGCACAGTTAAATTTTATGTCATTTAAAACCAGAGAATGTAGAGGAACCATATTCAAAAGGCTTGTTTTTAACAAGAGAAAAAGGATTTGGGGACCTTCCTGAACCAGCTCATAGGGACGATAGAAAGCTAGGGTAGATCCTGAACTGCTACTGTTCAGTTCACTGTACTTTCCTCCATGTTTAATGTAATTTTCCCTGGAGCCCATATGAATGCTTTCATCAGTACTGAAGCTTTGTGCCTAAAGTGTGCTTCATTGTATAACAGAATATGATTATTTATTAATCTTGTAACATTAAGACTAGTGGTTCAAGTGTTCCTTTATCTTACTTACCTTAGGTAAATATCGCGTTTCTCAAAATCAATCAACAACAAGAAAAGTACTGACAAGCTACAATACATTTTATCACTTTACAAAGAAACAAACACATATTGATGAATCAAGCATTTGTTTATCAGAAGAAAGGAATCCATTTCTTACTATGAAAAAAACCTAAGGAAAATGGAAAATAAAAGCACCAAGAGGGGTAGAAGGTGAAAGGAATCTGTGTGTCTGCTTCCAAAAGAAAGAAAAGGCAGGAGGAAGGAAAGAAAAATAGAATGTGGCCATAAAAGCTACATAAAATGGGACTCTGACTTGAAAAAAATTAAGATAAACTCCAGCACACCTTGTGCGTTGTACATGCTGACAGAAGGGTTGTTACAGACCGCCGGTTCCCCAAGCAATGTATTATAGGGATTGTTAGTACCATGCGGACGAAGCAGAGCATTGCTTATAAGA